CCCGTGCAGCAGCAGCAGCTGACAATGTGCCTTTCAGTGAGCGAAGGGCCTGTGTTTCCAACCCAGCCTGGGCTGCGTCCCAGAGCCAAATGACCTCCCGTCTCCTCTCCCAGCCAAATTCCTCTTTTAGAATAATAAACAGTTCAGCTCAGAAAACCTCCCCTGACAGGCTGCTAACGATCCCTTCGCACAGCCCTCTGGGGCAGAGATGGGGCGGAGAGGCCGGGCAGCACTGGCATGGCCAGAACCACGTCTATCTCCCGTGTGGGGTGGGGGAGGCCTCTGCCAGCGTTCAGAGAACTCCAGTCTGGCTAGTTTGAACCCCACCCTGTCACCGTTGGGTGCTGGGATGAGGGAGGGGAGGAAGGCTACTCGCTGGAAAACCACGGGGAAACACACAAGGAGTCCGGTGCCCCGCTTAGCAGGGAGAGTCAAGTTGGGGGGGAGAAGCAAAAGCTGTATCTTAGCCCTGAACCAAGGCAGCCGATCCCCCCACTCTCTCTTTCCTCCTGCTCCTGGTTGGTGTGGAGAGCCATGCCCTGGGGTGGGCGGCCGCAGCGGTTCATTCCAGGGGCCCTGGTGGCAGTGGAATTCCCAGAGACGCCCCCTGGAGCAGAGTCACTCGGTGGAGCGTTGTCTGTCTGGCGCTGGGAGAGGAGGACAACAGCCTTTCAGCTGCTCCAGGCCAAGGCAAGAGGGTTCTGATCCAAACTGCCCCCACAGCTGGAGGGCAGAGGGGATAGGAAACTTCATGCACCAGGCAATTGCCCTCTATTAGGAGCCAGAATGAGGGATTCATGGGGAGCAATTACCGCACATCTGCCTACTGACTGGGGAGGGCCGTCCCTTACTTTGGAACATCTGGAGCTGGCCTGGGCTAGGACCTCAGGTCTGAGCTAGTCTGGCAATTCCTTTATATCTGCCTTCTGGTTTCTGAGCACTTGCATCACACTTGGGTCACATTTGCAGCCTTTTCATACAGTCCTAGAGTTCAAGGCCAGAAGGGGCCGCCAGACCCACAGGCCACTAAACTTCTCCACCCCCACCCACAGCCACCCCTGTATAGAGCCCAGTGACCTAGATTAGACTGAAGTGCTACAGCCCTCCAGACACTGAACTAGCGTGCCCCAGATCAGAGAACAGGCTTTTCTCTGCAACCAGGCGGGCTAGAAACTTCTTGTTGTTTCGATGAAAGCCGAGGGTCTCACCCTTATTCCAGGAGATGAGCTAGGAGGAAAAGAGCAAATATCACAAGAGTCGCAATATGACTGCCAGACTGGCAGTCCTGCAAGCCACCGCAACGCCCACTTCCTGAGACACTTTCCCATCTCCAGATGCAAAAGTCTGGGGCTAATTATTTGGGTTAGGTTTGAGAGGTCAAACCTGACAACAGTTGATGGGATCCATGTGTCATGGAGCCTTTGGCTGGGTAGGAAAGCCTGTGTGTGTGTGTGTGAGAGAGAGAGAGAGAGAGAGAGAGTGCCACCTTTGTGACAGCAAGATGAATCTCGATAATAAATACATTCCATCCTCCAGAAAGGCGCCATGTAAATAAAAACCAAACACACTCCCTCAACGACAGTGTCTCCTCCTCTCTTCTTTCCATCCTCGAGGCCAAGGAGAACATGCCAGCTGTGTAGCGAAGCAACTGGAGACGATATTAAGCATTTCCTGTAAGATGGGAAGAGTCTGTGTACGCCTCTCACCCTGCCAGAGCGGATATACAAAGGCGAGGTCGCTGCAGTCAGGGAGATGTCGCCATCTGTACGCCGTACAGGAAGTGTCTCCGATGGAAATGCCTTCTCGCAAACAGCAGGGTTATTAAAACCAGCTAGGAAGGCAGCCAGAGGCACGAGAAGGAGTATGCTGACAGCGCTGTCCTGACTGCTCTCTGGGCAAATGGTACTGGTGTTGCTTCAGTGTTACTAGCCAGCAAGTCTAAAAAAAAAGCAACCAAAACCCCCAAAAGAAACAACAACAACAGAAGAGAAGAACATGCAAAACACCTTATTTGTTTCTATTCTGTTTAGGTCCAGTAAAGAATAGAGAGAACTGTACATTATTTTTATTATTGAGTCTGAAAAAAATCTCTACATAAATAAATTACAATGATTTGGACATGGATACATGCATATTTATTTGTTTTTCCTAAAGTTAATTAAGTGTTTTAGGAAAAATTGTCAGAGCGTCCACCAGCCAGAGTTGGTGGCCACACTCTGAGGCCACCAAAAAATTTCTTGTGAGAACCCAAATGTGTGATGACACCACGCTGGGAGAGGCTGCAAGCACTTTGGAGGACAGGAGGTGGCTTGCTTGATGCATTGGAGAATTGTTCTGAAATCAACAATGTTCATTCAGTAAAGACAAGTGCAAAGTACTGCACTTGGGATGGCAGAATCAAATGCACAATTACAACCTGGCGAAAAGCTGGCTAAGGGATAGAACTGCAGAAAAGGAAGTGGGGGTGATAGTGGATCACCAACTGAATATGAGCCCGCAATGTGATGGAGTTGCAAAAAAGGCTGATTATCATTCTGGGACATATAAACAGGAGTGTGGTACGCAAGACATGGGAGGTAATTGTCCCATTCATGTCCCTGAAGGTAGAATAAGAAGTAATGAGCTTAATTTGCAGCAAGGGAGATTTAGGTGAGATATTAGGAAAAACGTCCTAACTCTAAGGATAGTTAAGAACTGAAATAAGTTACCCTGGGAGGTTGTGGACTCCCCGTGATTGGAAGTTTTTCAGAATGGGTTCGACAAACACGTGTCAGGGACGCTCTAGGTTTACTTGCTCCTGCCTGAGCATTGGGGGCTGGACTAGATGACCTCTCAAGGTCCCTTCCTACCCTACAGTTCTATGATTCTGGGTCAAGTTGCAAGTAGTACCTCACGCCGTGAGTGACCCCCATTGCAATCAAAGGGAATACTCATGGAGTAAAGTACTACTCAGCATGAGGGATGGGGATCAAAGTCGGGCCCCAGGTGAGGTTAATAGTGATAGTCTTTAGATCCTCTTTAAATCAAGACTGGATGTTTTTCTAAAAGAGCTGCCTTAGCTCAAACAGAAGTTATGGGCTCAGTGCATAGATTGGGCCCTGTCTAACACAGGAGGCCAGACTAGGTGATCATAATGGTCCCTTCTGGCCTTAAAATCTGAGTAACACACCTTGTCGAAGGTGGATTGTGGAACAAAACCAATTGTTGTTTGTCTTTGCCTTTACTGCGCAGTTAAGAAATATAAAGACGGCTAGCTACCGATCTCTCTATCCCCTTCTCTGCTGCAGGATTAGGGCAAGATTCTTGGAGGACTTGACTAGTGATCTTACAGAAGTTGGCAGCCTAAGCAACATCTCACTCTTCTCCACAGAGGTGTGTCTACTAGCAAAGAAAAACCCAGACGACTGGGGCTCTGGGGGCTCGGGCTCGCGTAGCTCCAGCGGTGGGGCTGTTTCATTGCTGTATAGATTTCAGGCTGGAGAGCTCTGGGCACTCCCAACCTACAGGCTCCTAGAGCCTGGGCCTCAGCTTGAACCCAGAAGTCTACACAGCAATGAAACAGCCCAGCAGCCCGAGCTCCGTGAGCCTGAGTTGGCTGCCTGGGCCGGACGTGGGTTTTTCTTTGCTGTGTGGACATACCCTAAGTGCACTGACTCGCTCTCTGGGAAATATATCTCTGAAAAAGCAGGAAAGAAAGAAAACTAAAGCTTTAGGGAAAGTTGCTGAATAAGTCAGCAACCTGGCAGGATTTGCTGGTAAATCAGTTCTTTTCAAGCCAAAGCGAGAGAATAACAAAACCAGTGGATGACTGCACGTCATTTCAAAACCATTTCCCTCTCACGCCAAGCAGACACAGGCACAACCGCAGGGACAAGATGCAACGTCTCGGTGCAGTACCTAGAGCCAGAGTCGGCAACATTTTGTGCGCCACTGCTACAGCATTATTTCTTTAGATACTGGCATGACAAAGAGACTCCTGATCGGGGTCACATTGTTAATGAGATCACAAGCAGAGAGCTGCCTTTGCATTTGTCTCTTCATTAGCTGAGTCCAGATCCAACATTCCCCAGTGCTTTGCGAGGTCGGGGGTAATACCGGTGAAAGATGGTTCAGCCCATTACAGTGATCAGGCGCAACTGTGAAATTCAGGACTGGATCGGAGCTTTCTCTAAGTTCAGAGGTGCTGGATCCAAGGCTCACCTCTTGTTAATCCATCAGGTAGCTGTGCCTAGGAGGTGGCTTGCCATGAGGAATGGGGTTCCATGCTCTGTGTCCACACTGTGTTACTGCCCCTTTTGGATTCAGTGGCCGTGCGGGGTGAGATGGTCTATGTAGGCTCCTCCCTGTCACAGGGAGTTGTGGACAGTTTTCCCGCCAGGGTTTTTAGTGGGGAACCTTGTACTGTATCTGAGAGCAGGAAGAAGCGTTTGGTCAGACTCCTGGGTATTTTGGACCATGGCCTAGTGCAGCGGTTCTCAAACTTTAGCAACCCAAGGACCCCCATTTTGATTGAAACATTTTTGGGGACCCTCTACGCCACCCCTTCACTGAGGCCCCACCTCTGCCCTGCCCCTTCTCCCTAGGGATAGGATCCAACGCCCTAGGGATAGGATCCAACAGAGGGAAGTCAACAGCCAAAGGAATGTCAGAATAACAAGCTGGGGCCTTTTGCCTGGTGTATCCACCTGCAGCCTGATAGTACTCAAGAGGTGGCTGGGGGCAGATGGTGGGGTTAGGACCCTCAGCGAGGGGGACTGCAGGAGGCTTGAGAAGGGGAGTAAACTCCACCAGCCTGGAACGTTGTCATCCTCAAACAAGCACAAATGCCTTGGAAACATGAAATAAAAAGGTCCTTCTGCCTGCAGACACCCGGGGGCTGCACTGAGCTGGTCTGGGGGCGAGAGGGGGTGGGTAACAGAATAGTTAGGGACATGGGGGCTGACCCAGGAGTCCTTTCTGGTCTTGGTATCATTGCACTAATTCTGGGTTGCTTTGGACAGGATGCGGCCTGCAGTGCAGCTGAACCCCGCCATGCTGCTTCCATCTCTGAAGATGCTCCTCTTCTTCCTCGCAGGTGAGCGTGAGGATGACTCTTTGCTGACGTGTGAATTCCCCAAGGACGCTTCCTGCTATGGGGGCAGAATGAATGGGGCGACTGGGGGCAGTGGGGCTGGGATGAACACACACACCGGTGCACCCACCGTCCTATGCATAGACATCCACACACACACCCCAACAGGCAGACGAACACCCACACTATCATCCGTATTTAAAGGGCTAGTGTCACACATTTCTGGTCCAAATCGGGGCCCAATTTCCTTCTCCTACGGGGCTTTGATGCATGTGAGCTGTGTTGCGAGGAGGATTCCAGGGGCTACACGCGTGTCTCATCTTTGGGGTGCTCTGCCAGCCTAGGGATGAGCAATTCTTAGAAGCTGAGTCAGGACTCAGCTGCCATCGCACGCAGGGGATGAGGCAGATATCCCCACAGTCATTTGCTCCAGGCTCCCCGGCTCACCGAATCTCCCCTCCCAGGTACATGCACAATAGGGCAAAAACTTGGCTTCAAAAATTGTTCTCGCTCTTCACTGCTCTGGGCCGGTGAGGTGCTTGTAGCTCAGCCTGGGACCTCACCTCAGCTGCACCCAGCCCTGGGTGGGAGGGCGCTGGGTGGAATCCTGTGTGTGCCCTCCAGTTCCAGGGTGCTCCTTCCGCCAGGGACACGTGTGCAGGGGCAAGTCTGAGCAAAGAGCGCAGCTAGGAAGAGCTGACAGGGAGTGGCACAGGAAGCAATTCAGGAAGAAGTTGCCTTCTGTATCGCTTCCCAGGGATTTCCTGGAAAGTTTATTTTTGCTCCTCTTTTTTATTTTTGAAACCACATGGTCCAACCTCCTCCATGTCTCTTCCCACACAGCCCCGTGGGAACAAAGCCGATGGGGGGGAGCTCCCGAGCGGTCCAGCTGTCACAGCTAACGTGGGTCCCTTCTGGGTCTTCAGAATATGCATCTGAGACTCTCAGTGAGGAGGGAGTGGGGCAAAATTGCAGCAGAACCAGGGTCATTTCTGTGGCACGTGCACTGTTGGCTACAAATGCAGCTCTTGGACTCAGCATTTCTGGGGCAAATAAACCAGAGCAAGGGGATTCATAGGAAGCCCGGCTCTCAGCAGGCTGTGAGGGGCCCTCCGGCTGCCACCTGGGCAGATTCTCACAGCACTGTCCACCCCAAAAGACTTCCCCCCCCCAACCCAAGACCCCGAGGGCAAGTGTAAAGGCATCACGCCGTAAGATGATGAAGTTGGCTCAGTGCACAAACTTTTAGCATCCAAGTTTTCAAAGGCTGGCGCCTGACTCACACCCGGACAGTTTGCACACTCATCAGCTGTACCTTCTCATCCGGAATTTGCACGTGAAAACGGAGCTCTACAGCCCCTTGGGGTGCACCGTTACCTCATACACATGGGAGGCGGTCATTTAGGTACAGCGCCACACTGGGAGTCGGGAGGACCTGGGTTCTATTCATGCTGGGCCTCAGTTTTCCCATCTGTAAATGGGGATAATAAAACATATCTGCTTCTTAGTGTTGCTGGGAGGCTAAATGCATTAAAGAGGGTAATGAAGTATTCATTCGGATGGTATGGTTATTGCTGATGGCAGGTATGACAGGTGTGTGCTTGCAGATGTGGGAGCTCCATTCAAAACGTGAATGGCTGGGGGGGAGCGGGGGGGTTCTGAAGCCAGCTAGAGGATTTTGACACACGCTCTCAATCAAATGAACAGGAGCTGTGTGTCTAAATCCCCTGGTCAGTTCTGAAAACCCCAGGCCGGGTGGCAGCAGCCAGCGTGTATGTGTATTAACAGCTGCGGTGATGCCAGCAAAGGGAGCTCCCATGTTGCTGTATGGATCTCAGCAAATGGTGGCAACGGTTCGTAGTGATGGAGCCGTGGGTTCATTCCTGAATGCCACAACAGGTTACTTAACCTTACAAACCCAATACTCCTGCTCTAGGTCCTGATCCAGCCCCCACTGAGCTCAGGGGCTCCATTGCCCCCCTCTGGTTTAGTCCCTATGCCCTCTCCTAGGTTTGCCAGTCGTGGTGTCTCGAAGCAGCAAGCTGCACATTTCACGCAGCGACCCCGAAGTCGTCCTCAGTCTCTGGAGCAACTTCTCACTGACGTGCTCGGGGGAGGCCGAGGTGGTCTGGGAACGAGACTTGCAGCCCATAGCCGCGCCGCTGGAGTGGAGAGACGGCACCTTCTCCAGCACGCTCACGCTCTGGAACGTGACAGGCAATGACACGGGGGAGTACGTCTGCACCTACAACCAATCCCAGAACCAGGAGAAACAGGCTGTCTATGTCTTTGTGCCAGGTAGGGGACAGAGCACCCCCATCCCCTCTCTGTTTGCATCTCGGGATGGAGGCCAGTGGAAGGATGGGGCTGAATTTGAAGATGGTAGAGGGGGGTTCCTCTGCTCTGCAGTAGGGCTGGGGGGGGGAGCGACATGTGTGGGAGGCTGGAGTGGCCTATCTGCATCGAAGTGCCCCTGCAGCCCCCCATCCCAGTGCAGGAGCCTGGTGCAGACCGCTAGAAGTATAGTGCCCCCAGGTTACGGGCCCCAGGTGGGAGAGGATCATTGGAAAGAAAAAGTGAGTGAAACTCACATCTTGGGGAACAAGGCACGCAGCCCTGATGGGACGTGTCCCTAGTAATAACCCCAGCAGCTTCGGGAGAGAAATGTCCTGGGGGTTCAGCGCATCCGTCTCCAAGCAGAGGTGCTGTCCCATCCCGTGGCTAGTGGGCAGTTGTAATCAGGGCTGCAAAGCAAGTTCTTCTCCTGTCTCTTGTAACCGGATTGCCTTTCCCTTTTCCCTTCTGCAGACCCGTCCATCGTCTTCCTCCCCACAGGTCCCGAGGAACCATTCGTCTTCATCACTGGCTACAGCGAGGCCACCATCCCGTGCCGTGTGACTGACCCCCAGACCACGGTGACTCTCTATGAGAAGAAGGTGGAGAACCCAATTCCCGTGGTCTATGACAGGCAACAAGGCTTCACGGGGTTCTTCGAAGACAAGACCTACATCTGCAGGGCAACGCTGGGCGAGCGGGAGGTGGACTCTGACGCATATTACGTCTACAGAATCCAGGGTGAGCCACTTCTTAGGTCTGCGCCGGGTGATGGATCAGAGGGTTCTGGGCTGGTCTGTCTAAGGCAGGGGCGGGCAAACTTTTTGGCCTGAGGGCCATATTGGGTTTCGGAAATTGTATGAAGGGCCGCTTAGGGGAGGGGGGAGTGGCCGCCCCCCCCATCCGCCCCTGCCCCCGGACTCCCAACCCCCTGTTCCCTGACGGCCCCCCTGGAACCCCTGCCCCATCCACCCCCCCTACTCCCTGTCCCCTGACTGTCCCCAGAACCTCCACCCTTGACTGCCCCCCGCCACCCCATCCAACCCCTCCTCTCATTCCT